ATATCCCTTTTCTTCTACGCCATGTTTCGTTTTCTTCTCTTTCTTACTGCTCTTCCCTTATCGGGGTGCCGCGTCTGTTTTTGACCAATCAGCGTTCAAGCTGGTTTCCTCTTCCGTTTCTTTCGGATCTTTACATTTCGGCTCTTTCAGATGAAGTCAAAGGTCATCAACCTACGGTCATTTCTCCATCTTCAATCGCCTCATCCCATTTTATCTCCTGAAAGCACGACATCGCCACTTCATTCAATTTGTTGTTGGGTTCTGCGGTAAAGATAACAATTACCAAAAAAAAAACAAAAAAAAAAACAAAAACAGAATTTCCTTTAGTTGGAAATGAAGCTGAGGGAAGAAATAATGTTGTTTGAACAGTGAATGATGCTAGTTTCTGGGGAATAATTGGATGCTGTTTACCGTATTTGACAACATATAAGGCGCACTTTTTTATTAAAAATATGTTTTAAAATTCCTTTGAGTCTTATATGTCATATATAGGTTTAAAATTCGCGATAGTCGGCCGAAATTAGCTACCAACGCAACTCCTATTAGCTTAGAATTTCAAGTAACTTTCATATATTTATTGTCATTATTTAAAGGCTATTATGCAGATTAAAAGTGTTATCATTGATAATATTCATTATATTAATTTCATCACGTTTTATATTAGTACTTTGTTTCATTAAAATTATATGCAATAAATTCAAATTATATATTTGTAAAATATATTTGTTTCATTAATATTTTTCCTGTGATAACTTCCAGTTGCATTGGTATAAATACAATCAGAATTTTTATATCCTAATTATTCCTATGAGACCATTTGGCCTTGTGCCACATTTTGTACTAACGTACAAATAAATAATTATTCCTATGAAACCTTTACAAAACGCAGGTTTTACAGATCGTATAAAGGATATAATAAAGATTTTTTAAGCTCGTATTTATTTTCTATTATTATTTTTCGTTTAATTGTAATCTTGGCTTGTTTAACCGAAATAATACTTCATAAATATAGCCGAGGCTGCACCATTTACTAATAATTTAACTAATTTTACTAATTACTAATTTTTTCTTGATTTGTCCTGCTGAAATTGGGGTTCGTCTTATACACCCCTGCGTCTTATATGCCGTCAAATACGGTGACTTTCACCTTTTTAAGTGTTTAATTACTTGTTTTATTTCTTTGCTTGAACGAGAGTGAAGCAATAAGTCAGTAGCCTAACGTTTTGGTTTTAAGAGAATTTTTCAACGGAAAATTCCGCTGTATAATATTCACTATGATTAATTATAACCGTAGAATGAAGAGCATTGACAAAGAAAAATCCGTTGAAAAGGAAATCGTTTTTGATCACTGACGGATTTGTTTGGTTTTGTTTTGCAGATTATTAACATTTTGTGGGTTATTCAAAACCGAAATGAATTTTGGATTGCTAGAATAATTCCTTTTAAGAATGAATATGGCCTTTTAATATATATATATTTTTTATGGAATAATAATGATCTGTCCAGATACATGTCTTACTATTTAACTCACAGCTGGATGAAGGATTTGAATTTATTCCTTTCCTTTTACGCGTAACGAACCCGAGTTGAATTCCAAATTGATTTCCCAATCTCTCATTCCCTACGATTATCCATTACGCCATTCGCAATCCTGAAAAATTAAAATCTCTTCTTTCATCCTCATTTTTCATAATTAGGATGCATATATACTGATGATCTTACAAATCATATATATACGTGCCATGTGTGATATAAAATGGGATGACAGGGTCGAGAATAGTGCAATACTGATGAAATGTAACAATATCATAGTCATCGAAATCATTCAAGCAAAGATACAACTTAGGTGGGCTGGTTATGTTGTGAGAATGGATGGGCATAGGCTTCCAAAAAAGGTGTTGTATGGAAAACTACCAAACTTCAAGACATCCAACTTACGCTAAAAAGAAAAATTGAAAGACAACTTGAAACGTCTCAACTTTGATCTGAAAACAAGGGAACCTAAACATCAAACCGAAAGGAGTGGCATAAGACATAATTCATTAAGTTAAAGGGTTTTGAAGACTGAAGCAGTTTGATCAGCTTGGTCAATCTCTGAAGCAGAGATATCATCAAAATCCTGTTTTAACAAGTTTCATCTGCTAGTGTGGCTCTGTCGCCTGCAGCAACGTTGGGCGAGTATTGCACTTAAGAAAGTACAAATAAAATATGTCTTTCCTTTAACTGATTTTCTCTACAATAGCCTGTGCTTGCATGCATAAGTGTAAAACGAAAGGCACCATCCAATGCTGACCCTCATTTGTCGTACACGATAGGAAAGTCCACTACATATATATATATATATATATATATATATATATATGTGTGTGTGTGTGTGTGTGTGTGTGTGTGTGTACAAGTCCAGGGTTGTTGCGCATGGAATGAAATTCCAATAACCAAAAACATTATTCTTAAAAGAGTGCTCAATATCGAGTAGAGCTAATAATATTTAATCAAATTTATGACATATGCATGTTATAAAATCCCTACAAAATCAGGCATAAGTTATAAATTTGAATATCTATCTATCTATCTATCTATCTATCTATATATATATATATATATATATATATATATATATATGTGTGTGTGTGTGTGTGTGTGTGTGCAGCATTTCTCCATTCAAATCCGTTTTACTGAATAATATAGATATATTATGTCTACTTATTTTTATACTTATCCTTTCCAGTTGTCGAATGAGATTCTTGATATTAAACAGATTTCTTTTAACTTAAGTACGTTCGACCTTTTACAAAATCATCTTCAGGGGTAAATTACGAAGATAACATATTGTAACTGCGATAAAATCTGCATTCCGTTGTCATAGTGATTTTTTCGCAGTATACAATTTACCCATCGCAACCTTTATTTTGGCTTACGTATATGGCGTTGAAACACTGGTTCACGTAGATTATCGAAGTCAAACAACATCCAGCCTGATCAGTACCTTGATGGGTGACCGCTTATATATATATTAGTCCTCTCCAAATGTATGATCATTTCCTTTGTTTTCGGTGTTCATCGAAGACATTTGGTAATAAGATCAAAAGATGGATATGAAACAAGATTACAGAAATTGAGCTTTTATTTCCTGGTATTTACATTGAGATGTTTTAAATAATACGGCCTTATATTTTGAACCTACCAAGTTTTCAAGTGAGCAAAACAAATGGAATACGTGACTGACAGGTTTTTCTTTTAGCGAGGTATTGCTTTTTAGATTGGTTGTTTAAGCATTAAATAGCTGTGAATGACTACTCTTGGTTTTATTCTTGGATATCACCTGTAAAGTCAGTTTTTCCTGTTGAAAGGGATAATCCAACACGAAGATGAGAAAACTATCTATGAGGGAAAAGCAAGCCTGAGAACTGAGAAGAGAAGGAAAATCGATCAGAGCCATTGGACAAATATTGGGAATAGTTAACATAACAATTTGGAATGTCCTGAAAAAGAAAAGAACTATTGATGTACTGAGCAACAGGCATGGAATAGGTCGGCCAACTAAAACAACAGCAGTTGATGACAGAAACATTGTTAGTGCTGTAAGGAAATATCCCAAAACAAAAGTCAGCCAGTGTGCAGAGGTGAAGGTTTTGCAATCCACCGTTCAAAGAAGACTTTGAGGGCAGAAATACAGAGGCCATATCACAAGATGCAAACCACTCATCAGCAGTAACTATCATAAGGCCATATTGGAATTTACAAGAAAGTACAGAGATGAGCGGCAAAAGTTCTGGAATAATGTTTTCTGGTCTAATGAAACCAAAATTGGTCTCTCTAGAAAGGCCAAAACGTGGAGAGAGAAAGGATCTGCTTATTATCCAAAGCATATAAGTTCGTTTGTGAAGCATAATGGAGGAAGTCTCTTGGCCTGTGCTTGCATGGCTGCATCCGGAAGACGAACATTCATATTTAATGATGATGTATCACATGAAGCTAGCAGCAGAATTAATTCAGAAGTCTACAGAAACATTTTGTCTGCCAATTTACAGAGAAATGCGTCCAAACTAATCGTGAAGAAGTTTATCATGCAGTAGGAGAATGATCCAAAACATACTGCCAATACAACAAAGGACTTCATCGGGGAAAAACGCGGGCAGTTTTAATCTGGCCAGTCAATCACCGGACCATAACCAAATATGCATTTCATCTGTTGAATAGGAGACTGAAGGAAGAAATTTCCAAAACAAACAGCAATGAAAATAGCTGCGTTAAATTTCTGGAATGCATAAAAAATGAAGAATGCAAGTCAATGAATCGTAGGCTAATACAGTTACTGCCAGCAAGTGTTATGCAACCAAATATTAAGTGTTATTTGTTGCTTTACCTAAAAATGTGGTAATCTGATATAAATGGTGGCATGTCCTAAGCTGTTCAACAGTTATATAAAGTAAACACCAGGAAATAAAAGCTCAAATTCTGAATTCTTGTCTCATGTTCATTTTTTAATATTCAGCCCAAATATCTTCACTGAACAACAACTGCAACGATATTGGCCTTGCTGTTTCAATACTTTTGAAGGGGAATATATATATATATAAATCTAAGTATAAGTATAATGCTTAAGTATATCTGAACTTAAAATTATGCTTATTTCAGACCTCATCTACATATGCAAACGCACACACACATAAACACACACATATATATATATACATAGATAAAATATGTGTGTATATATGTGTGCATGCGGGTGTATTGTGTATACCTAATAACTATTATATATATATGATATATACCTAATAATTAACATACACACACACACACACACACATATATATATATATATATATATATATATATATATATATAAATGAATGCGCTCATCCTGCCTCGGTCGCATCCTGTATGCGATAGTTTCCGTTTCTTTGTTCTCTCACATTAATGATGCAAAGCATTTTGTTCCATTCTCGAGTCGACTTTGCCATCACACACATTCACCTCGTCTTCCATCATTTCAGAACGACCTTTTAAATATCCGCGCCATTTTCTTCCAACTCAACTAGCTGCCATTTTTTCTCCGCTATACTACACCACCCAACTACGTCCCATCTTTTCTGCCTTCACTAATGCCGCCATTTTCCCCCCATTTTCCATTACCCTCTCACCTTGTTCACCCCCAGCCCCAACCCGCCAACATCGACGTCTTTTCTATTATCCAACCTCTTTTAACCTGTGGGCTTACGACTTGACAGCACCCATCACCGGTGCACGATAACTAACAACTGAGTTCGACGATTATCTTTGGTGATTTAGATGGTCCTTGCTCTGGCTACCTTGCATTGTTGTTTCTCGGCCATTCACTTTGCTTTCATCTCGAAAGTGATACTGTAGGCATTAATAAAATATACAGGCTTCTTTTTGCTTTTTTCTGGCAAGAAAATCTCAGAGTAGAGAAAGTTGTTCAACGAATTTCTATCGCAAATGATAAAATTATAGTTATGTGTAGCAAAAGAAAATGGGATAATACTCTTTGATTGTCATGTTCTCCAGCATTTCGCAGGTGTAAAGATCTCCCATGCAACGCTTTATCTATAAAACAAAGGCTCATTGCCTTGAACGTCTACCAGAACACAAACTTACATCAAACCTCAATAGGAACTCATATATATATGGAACATGGCTAAAGAAGCAAATAAAATGGACGGTACTTTATGACACATCACAAAGTACAAGACGCCCATTACACTCTATCTTTACAAGTGTCAGATAGGAACAAAAATGGAGTAATCATTTTTTTTTATCATTCCAGGCAAGGCGGGAATGTCACTAGTACACAGGAGGTTACAGAGAGTGAAAGTGAGGGAAAAGACTCAATATAGGGAGGATTGAGGAAAGAACGGGATACAAGAAGATAGAGGGCGGCGATTGACGTTGCATTTAAAGTTTTGAATATTGTCGTTATCAGGGAAGCAAATAAGCGGTAGGGATTTCCACAGGCGAGAAGTGTGAGAAAAGAAACTGTTGTAGAAGTGGTGGTTGCATTTATCTATTTCAACATTAAAAGGTTAGACCTAGATGTCAATCTAGTAGCACGCTTAAATTCATGTAATCGGGGTCACTACAGGAAAAAAGCTCATCAGAACTGTTCCCCCGAAAATATTTGTATAAAGTGAGAAAGTGACTGAGGTCGAGATGCTAAGTCAGGATCGATTACATTGCAAATCCTTCTTTGGATTTTGTCAAGAACCTCGAGATGAATAGCACCAAACCAGATATGACAGTAGTATTTAAGGCACGGACGAATGGTAGATTTGTAAATGGGCAAAATGGACTCTGACGAGAAAAGCTTTCTGGCACGACACAGTGAACCGACTTTCCTTGCCGTAGATGCTACTATTGATTCAGTGTAGTCACTTCACTTCAATTCAGTTGAAAACGTGAGGCCAAGTCGTAGTGTGATGTTCTCCTGGAGTTTAGCATCAGCCATGATGATAGCGGTTAGGAATGTTTTTCTATGATGATTATTATTTTCTGCACTGTGCAATGCGCCATGAAACTTGACAGCAGTCCTCAGGTGCACCTCACACACACACACAAAAAAAAACATCAAAAAAGAATCGAAAGTAATGCGTTTACACAGGGCCCAAAAGAGAAAAGCTGCCATCTCAGGAGCTTCCCAACATCACTTTCCAGCCTTGACAGAGTTCAAAAAGCGTTAGCGAGCTATTCTCTATGAACTTTACGAGGGTCGACTGAAAAGTTCATAAACTGACCAAGATACTCTTTTGGAATGCGACCAAATGAGGTTTATTTTTCAACATATTCCACCTTACGGTCCCCACATCTGTAACATCAGTATTACAGTGCTTGGATCCCATTAAACGAGAAGCATTTTCTATTGGTCAAAAATGTCATCAATAGCTGATATGACGTCGTAATCACTGCGATACTGGTTACCAGTGAAATGTTTTATTCCTATTGTGGAATATTTTATTGTCAGAAGGAACCAAATCAGAAGAATCGGGAGGTGGGTGATCAACCAGTTCAAAGTCAGTCACGCAAAGCATCCATTGAAATCAACGGATGAAACAAGACCACTTTCGTCAATTTCCCTAGGCCTTCTTTCGAGCAGGTGAGGAGGGGTGTTGCCACTGCATGGATTGTCTTTGACTCAAAATGATGAACCCAGGACATCCTGGGTTAGGAAACGATCAAGGAAATCACCTACCTCAATGCTTTTCATCAGGTGTTAGCATACGTGGAAGCCACCGAGCATAAACCTCCGCCATGCCCAAATTATTGTGCAGAATATTCTCAATTCTCTCCTGGGATATGCTGATAGCATTGGATATATAATTTGTAGTCAATCGCCTGTCATCCAACAACATTTGGTGAACACAATCAATGTCTTCCACGGTGGTTGCTGTTGCAGAACGTGCAGTCCTTGAGTCTTCTTTGAACAGTCAAATGTCAGTTTACCTGGAAATAAGCAATCCACTTATTAATAAGAAGAGTTAAAATTCACACATGCAATGTGTAAACATAACAGTGCTCGATGTGGTTAGACAGAGCAAAGATATATTAATAATATAATTGTATATATTATATATGTATACTATATTATATATATAATACAATATTATATATATATATATATATATATATATATATATATATATATATATATATATATATATATATATATATATATAGAGAGAGAGAGAGAGAGAGAGAGAGAGAGAGAGAATTAATCGATTTATTCTTAAATAGTAATTTCTAAAGAACAAATGGATTTATTTTTAATCAGATTTGAAGCCTTTTTTATTAATTTTTTTTCGAGTGAGCAGGTCGATGGACGTAATACCTCTGCTTAAATTAAAAAAAAAACATAATGCACAAAAATAAGCATCTATTTCAAACACACATATCCACTAACTATAATATATATAAAATATAGTTTATGAAAATTAAAATTATATTAATGGGTAAAAGTGCTCAATATGTAAGATAGAGCGTATATAAATTGGACACTGAAGTCAACAGCAATTGGCGACAATAACGGCATTCGGATTCATAGTTAATTCTATTCGATAACGTCGAGAATAATATGAAACATCAACCTTATCGCCCACCGGATAATAGTTAGAATAATACAATATATCTTACTACCCATAATGCATCAATGGCCAGTATATATAAATAGTTGAACCAAACCACACCACTGATAGCCTGATGATTATGTTTAAGCATGTAACAGACGCCCGTCACTTGGTGTTGACCTCTGTTTCCACTTCCTTGAATGATATAGACTTATTTTAACGCAATTATATTAAGTATCTTTGTAATTTACGAATGAAGATGATCTTAGAAAACATCGAAAGTACTTGGGTTAAAAAAATACGGTGATTCTTTGATGAATTTCATCTTAGTACCAAGAAACCGATTAGACAACTGGAAAGGGTCATTACAAAAATAAGTAGACACAATATGTCTATATTATTCAATGAAACGTGTTTAAATAAACGTATGCTGTCTAAATACACACATACATCTATCTATCTATCTATCTATCTATCTATCTAGCTATCTAGCTAGCTAGCTATCTATCTATATATATATATATATATATGTGTGTGTGTGTGTGTGTGTGTGTATTTGAAAGGGCGCGAAATATTGAGACATCATGTCAGACATCATGCAGTGTTGATTCCAATATAAGCTTTTAACAGAGCGAAAATATACTATACTGACCCAACACAGCAGGCTGTTGATCGACGCTTTTTCCCTGGTCCATAGAAATACCCGCATCTTCGACAGAAGTGTTGACGAATAGGTAAATAAATCGAGCCGTTTTGATACAATGTAGTAAATTTATCTGTCACATTTGGGCATCTCATTAAATCCACATGAACAAAACCGAGGCCATTTAGTTAACCATAACTTTATGGCAGACATGCTATGTATATTTATCTAACATTAGCTTCGAAAACGACGACACAGACCGCAAACAACCAGGATCGAAAGGTCTGTATCAGAATGATATATGAGAAGAGTATAACAAACAGCTGCTCTGTACATAGTTACGAGAGTAGCTAAGTCTGGCACAAGAAAACAGTAATAGAGCAACAATGTAGGATATCACACTATACATAAACAATAGTGAGTAGTTGCATATCGAAATTAAAAAGAATACTATGCTGCGCGTTTCGATCATCGTGATAACTTTTTCTATGATATCTCTTGGGATTGATAGTGGAGTGGACTCCCGTTGTCTTCTCCACAGTGATTTATTGAGACACCGCCTCTAGTTAGCTGGCCGTTAACACGTCGACAGTTCTGCCTTATGATAGGTTTCATTTTTCATTCTACTGGGTTGCTAATAACCCACCTAACTCGCAATATATATATATATATATATATATATATATATATATATATATATATATATATATATATATATATATATATATATATAAGACAACGCGAAACATCTCAACTTTGATCTGAAAACCTGGGAAGCCCAAACATCAAACCGAAAGGAGTGGCGTACGACATTTTCATAAGATTGTAGACTGAAGCACAATGATCAGTTTCGTCAAGGTCTGAAGCAGAGACGCCATCAAAATCCTGCATTAACAAATTTTATCTGTCAGTGTGGTTTTGTCACTCGCAGCAAGACTGGGCTAGTATCACACTTAAAAAAACACAAATGATATGTCTTTTCCTAACCTGTTTTTCTCCAAAATAGCCCCTGCTAACATGCATAAATGTAAAACGAAAGGAAACATCCAATGCTGACCCTCATTTATCGTTCACGATAGAGAGAGCTATATATATATATATATATATATATATATATATATATATATATAAAAATGCTTAAACACTAATATTCCATGGTCATAATTTATTCCATTGGAATCGTAAATACGAAAAATTCATCAGACCGGAAATAAAACAGAATTTTTTTTTTTTTCCGGAGTTGGTTTTTTCTGTTTACTTTTTGAATTTTTAGGTCTGATGAATTGATCGTATTTACGATTCCAATGGAATAAATTATGACCATGGAATATTAGTGTTTAAGCTTTTTATTATATCCTTTTCTGTCCTAGACATTGAGTTCTACCTGGATTCTTCACATGTATGGGTATTTATATATTTTGTATATTATGTATATATATTATCTATATATATATATATATATATATATATATATATATATATATATATATATATATATATATATATATATATGCCGACACACAAACATATATA